CTTGAAACACGCCACCAGAGCTGCCAAGGTTCGGGTGGCTTTCTGGCATGCTGCCTCCTACCACGTGAGAAGGACAGTAGAACCAAACGTGTGTTTGGTTCTACTGTCTTGCCAGCCAGTCGGAGAGGTGTCCCTGATAGCAGGGTGGGCGTAGCCTTCTTCTGCTGGCCCGAGAGAGATGGAGCAGCCTGCCGCGCTTTGTGGCAGGACAGCCTCGCGGACAGGAGCCGAGTCTCGTCGGTGCCAGAAAACTCTTTAGACCCTAGAGCCTGGTACTCCACGGCCGGACCCCTGGGCCGCCCTGTAACGAGGGTGCGAGTCCCGTGCATCCTGTTGGACGGTGAGGTTGTGCAGAGCAGTCAACCACCCTGTAAAGAGGGTCCAGGTCACAGTGTGCCTCTGGGTACTGCCCTGCCCTTTGGCTGGCTGTAAGCAGGGCTCTGGGCCCTTCCCTTGTGCCCTTTGCGGGCAGTCTGGCGGCTCAGGTGGGCCATGCCCTGTAAAGAGGCCTGCTTACCCCCTGGGAGCGGAGGAGGATTTGACAGAGTAAGGCTGGAGGTGAAGCGGCTTGCAGCGCGGAGCTCCTTTCTGGCCTGGGAACACTTTTTCACTTGTCAGAGTGTGGCGAGCGAGAGAGAGGCGCACCTGGGAACGACAGAGTTTGTGAGGGTTTTTTTGCTGTTCAAACCGCTGCTGCGTACTTATTTTCTTCTTAGTACTGGGAAAGGGACGAGCTGTGTCCTCATCGCCTTCTCCTCCCCCTCCATATTTAGGGGAATAAGCACCGGCATAGATTTCCAGGCCTCTTGACCTCGGGGGGTGTTAGGGCCCCCCTCTAATACATTTGGGCACGCGGCCTCCCTGTATCTCAGGGTACAGGTCTTTGGCCCCTCTTCGAGGGTGTCTGGCATGTTCTTTTGGCCCCTTGGTAGCTCACGGGAAGGGTTACTGCCATCCTTCTTGGGGGCAGCCCATGTATTCCCCACCCGAGTCCCTGGAGACAAGTGCCCAGCACTTAGCCAGCCGTTCTGCACCCCTGCCCCCAGCCTGCAGCCTGTAAGCAGGGCCCAGGTCCCCTTGATTCTCTAGGTCGGGTCTCGTTCCACTTGCTGAGGTTGGCCAGAGACGATACCCACAGACTACAGGGAAGGGTGCAGGCTTCTGGATGACATTGAGTGCGTTGGGACCCCAAGGTTTAGTGACCTTCCTGTAACTCAGGTCCAGGTCTCTGCTCCTCTGTTCTGCTGCTCCTGGCACCATGAGATGCCCCCCCCGCACCCTGTCAACAGGGCTGCAGCCCCACCCCCTCTGACCTTGGGGGAGGAGGCCTCCTTTAGCCCTTTGGGCTCTGTGGCTTCCGTGGCAGGAGGCTGAAGTCGTGGCCCTTCTGTCCTGTCTGGCCCTTCTGTCCATGGGGCAGCTTTGACCCATGATCAAGACCCCCTGGGACACCTGTCAGCTGGCATTCAGGACTTTGCAGGTTGTCTCTGGGCTTCATTCCCCAGCCGCCAGCTGTGTGTGGGGAGCACCGCCCTGTCAGCAGGGTTTCCAATGTTTGTGGTCACCGGTCATGGTGCCGCCCTAGCAGTTCTGTCCAGAGTCCTGGCCCTTCGCACTCTGCTCCTGGCTGGCCTGTATGTCGGCAGCCGCAACCT